CCCCACCCCTGCCGTAGGGCAGTACACCACCTCACAGCCCCACCCGACAACCCAAAACCCCACCCCCACAGCCCTAGCCCATCACTTTGACACTATGTTCCTCCGTGAACCCACTTGGTATATGGACACCGGTGCATCCCATCACATTGCCTCTGACCCAGGTACTATTTCTCATGTTAATTCTCAATCTTTATATTCACCATTATATATCATTGTTGGTAATAGATCTAAAGTAAGCACTACGGCTGTTGGTAGCCATACCCTCCCCACTACCCCCTCCTTATCCCTTAAAAATATCCTTATCTCTCCTCACATCACTCACAACCTTATCTCTGTCCGTCAACTCACTCGCGATAATAATTGTACAGTTGAATTTGACTCTAATGGTTTTTCTGTGAAGGATCGTCGGACAAGCATCGTGATGCATCGATCCAATGATATGGGACCCCTCTACCCCTTAGGTCGCCCAGCTGCCGCTTAAGCCAACGTCGCCGCTGTCGATCTCCAGACCTGGCACCGGCGCCTAGGCCATGCGAGTCACAATGTCCTTAGCAATATTTCTTCTCTTCCTTTTTTTAAAAGTTACCAACATTCTCTCTGTCATGCATGTCAATTGGGAAAGCATGTGCGCCTCCCATTTTATTCTTCTAGTCGTGTTTCTATGTTTCCATTTGAACTTTTACATACAGATTTATGGCAATCTCCTGTTCCGAGTATTACTGGTTTTAAATTTTATATGTTATTGTTGGATGATTTCTCCCATTATCTTTGGGTTTTTCCTTTAAGACATAAAAGTGATGCTTTTAATCATTTAACCTCTTTTATTGCATATGTCAAAAATTATTTTAATACAACAATAAAAGCAGCTCAGTGTGACAATGGAACGGAATATTGTAATTCACCACTTAAAAATATTTTTGACTCCTTAGGTATCCTCTTTCGTTTCTCGTGTCCTCATACCAGTCAACAGAACGGCCGAGCTGAGCGCACAATTCGTACCATCAACAACTCGGTCCGTTCACTCCTCTTCCAAGCCCAACTTCCACCTACTTTCTGGGTTGAGGCCCTTCACATGACAGCCCATATTTTTAACATTCTTCCCACCACCACTTTACAAAATAAAACCCCACACGCCTCCCTCTTCCATCTCCCCCCCTC